AACTACGATGTATTAGGATATTATATTTTTCATTCTCTGATACCTAAGTCCAGGACTGAAGGAAGTCGATAGAATTTCACAAATTACGTCTCAAGCCTCTTTCACGTTCTGTTAGACTAGCGTACCTGTGCGAGAACTCACGCATGTTAATCTCCACCTTTACCTATCCATTTGTCTATCCTTTCCATTAAGAAGGAAAGTTGTTAATGAAACGTGTTTATTTAGTAAAAATGTATAAATGTAACTTCGATTTTACTCACATTATAACAAACAAAAATAAATTCAATGCAATGGCTGTTGCAAACAAATTTTCAATAAAAGTAAATTCAGTATTGTAGCGATATATTCTTCGAACAATTCACACTTGCTTAAAAATAACATTTCAAGTAATTATTCAATCTCCCTTGTCAGTTAGCTTATCTCTTTCCCTGATAGTCACAATAATATTAGAAGATGTTATTACTCTTGAGAAAGCCAACCAAAGTTTTCGATCGAGTAATTGCAATATAGAGATGTAATAAAACTAAATTGAGAAGAGTTGTGTCTGTCTATAAATCATCTCGGGACTCCTTTCCTTCAATCTCAAATTTACAAGAGACAGGCTTATTTCTACCTTTGCAAGAATCAAAGTTTTCCATTTGGTGAAGCCAGAATTCCTGTATTGTGGGTCCTTGAGAGCGAAAATTCAGTTGACGGAAAAACGTCCATCTGTCTGATTATCCGTCCGTTCGCTTGTCCTCCGGTCTGTCGATCTATTTTTTCTTTAAATTTCTTGTAAGAATGGAGTTACATACACTTATAAAAGTGGCATATGTCAAATTTTCACGGTTAACTCTGAATTTTTGAAAATTTCAAAAGTTTGATTTTGTTTTTGGTGGCTTCCTACTACAAAATCAAAGATATAGATTTTTTCTTGGAACAAAATTGATTGTCCATTATTAGTTCTTTTATTAAGGTCGCGTACTTTTTTTTGAAAATTTTAGTAGTTTTCGCACAATATTGCATGCAATATTTGAGGTTTTAAAGAATTCCCCCAAACAAGATTTTCTCAAAAACGGCTCCAAATTTTTACTTTAAACTTTTGGTATGGATAGTCCTACATGTACTCGCCATTTGCTCTATTCTTTTGTTTTTGCAAAAATTACAAAAACGTATTTTTTGACGTAACTCATGTTAATATTTATATTATCGGCGATTTGTTCACATTATATTTATGAGTACATGTGCTTTAAATAATGTCATATAAAATTTCTCGAAAACTCAGCATTTTCCGTGAAAGTTAGCTCAAAAATCCGCATTTTCCAAATCACTCAAACGCCGTTTTCTCAAAAACGGCTCCAATTTTTTCTTCAAACTTTTCGCAGGGATAGTGCTAATGACACTGCTTAATACGGCATTTATTTCATTTTTGGGTATTCTTTGTTTTTTCCAAAAACTTTACAAATGTAATTTTTTTAAAGATCTCTCACACCGATAATATGTACATTTCCAGAAAATTGTAAGCACTATTGTATTTGTAAGTTAATGTGCTTCAAATGTCTTTTAATGAAGTTCTTTGAGAACTCAAAAATTTTCTGTTAAAAAAAGCTTCAGATTTAGAATTTACTGTAGCGCTTAAGCGCCATTTTCTTAAATGACTTCAATTTTTTCAAAGAAATTTGCAATTTAGGACGAGGTTTTACTGCTCATAATATAATATTTTCGTTGTACAACTCGAAAATCGAAAAATTAAGACAATTTTTAAAAAAATGTACTTTGGGTTGCGATAGATCGTATTAAGCAAGAGTATGGAGTATGTAGCAAGTTCAAATAATTAGCCGAGACCAAAGGAAAAACAAAAACAAAAACGAATGCGGGGAAGTCTGTACCATTCTGTAGCACCACTAGTTACTTTCCCGTATACGTACGTATACGGAGTAAATCGTTTTCGAGATTTCAAAGGAAATACACGTTTTGGTGTTCACACCGAAAAAGTGATGTCTTTTAAAACGTTCGTCTGTCCGTCCCTCTGTAAACACCACTAGTGCCCAAACTATGCGTAGGATTTTTTTAAAATTGAAAATCTCCTCTCTGGCTATATAAAAAAGTGTCTTTAAAATTTGGGGGTACCGTACAGCTAGATGTCGCATGATCGCGAACGTATCGATCAGTGCCTGGCGATCATGCGACATCTAGTGGCACAATCGAGAAAGACGCGAAATGCCGTGAAATAGTCCATCGTGAAGGCAGGCCCTCTCGCGCCAAGAAATTAAAACCCATGTATAGGGTAGGCAGTCCTACTAAGGTGTTAATCTATGGTCCTACCTTCGCTACACCAAGGATCTGCCACTTCTACCACTACTCATGGACAGTCCAAATACGAAACGCAAATTTGAAGTATTTTGAATACCATCTTTCCTCCCTGTAACGCACCCCTGAATCCCCATATAAAATTACGAAATCTTTGTGACAACATCCCCTCGTAAATGCATGAAGAGAAAATAAATTATAGCACAGTAACAACGATGTTCATTCATTTTATTTGTGTTGTATATTAAAATGTATGAAATTTATTTATGTCGGAATTAGTTGGCGATGCTGTCTGCATCTAACAATAAGATTGGAGGCAAGTTGTGAATGAACGCAAGCACACAGTAATCGAAGGTGGTGAAAACGGCCCATATGCGAGAAATTTTTTTTATCACAAGTCGTGCGCACGCAGTCGTGAATAACCCATTGGCGAGAATTTGCTGCGCCAATTGAAATGGATTCTAGAATATACGTACTCAATCAAATCAGTTGTGAATATTTTTTTCTTATCTTACATATACAATAAAAATGATAAAAAATATTTCCATTTATTACAATAATTTAATCTAATAACTTTATGGTTTTAAAACAAATTAATTTGGTCAATATTTTAATGTTTAAGTATAAGATTAAAAAGGAATTATTTCAGCAAATGTTGAAAAATATGAAGAAATAAATATGAATGGTATGTAACAATAAACAAATGCCCCCTACCCCTACGTAATGCTGCCTCAAAACCCGTTCTCCTCCCCTCTTTAGCGTAACTTAATTTATGGATGACCCCTCACGATCGCTGAAGACTAAAAGTAGAAATGGCGGCAACAAAAATGAAACAAACAGCTACCTAAGAAACAAAATTTATTGAATACACCATCCGAACCGCAGATAGCACATGAAGTCACCCAACAATAGAACTTTTCATGGTTCCATCGATCTAAGAATACATTGCTTTGTGACAGGGTGGGTTTTTCCACCATGACACCTGAAATAATACGGATGATGCGCGGGTCACGCGTGGGGTAACTTACAGTTATCACTGACTACGGATGAGAGCAACCAAATAAACAGGTAATGTATTTCAATGAGCTTTGACAACTCTGTTG